GCACTTGGAAGGTAGTGAGGACAGACCCCACAGGCAGCAGACGGAGACTGTGGGAGAGCAGAGGATAAAGATAAACCTGCATTTAGAGAGCACGGCGCATAGGGACCCTTCCAACTCGTTGTCTGAGGGGAAGGTGCCCGCGAGGCTTTGGAAGCCCCATGAGTCAAATGAAAACGTGGTTGGGCTACAAGGCAGCACCCTTCCGCTCCAGCCCCCGGGGGAGAATCTCCAGGGCAAATGGAAATCAGCTGCTGCTTGGTCGTGTGGATGATCAAACTGGCATCCTGCAGTAGGCTTTTAAAGATGAGACTCTGTGAGCTTTCAGCCACCTTTCCTCACAATCTCGTCTCAAATGGGGACTCTCTAGTGTTTTTTATAGTTGTTCTTGCCCCCCCTTTCTATGAGCCACCACGGGTCTGTGGAGTAAAGACTGGGGCGGGAGGATAGGGCAGAAAGCAAGCAATGTCGGGGAATTAGGACTTTCTCCTCCTTCTTCACTGTTTATCTATTCTGTACCACTCAGCTGTTCTCTGCTGCACAGAGAGAAAAGCTTAGTTTCAAAAGTATGCTAGAACAAAGCTGCAGAAATTGCCTGGAATTTCCTTCGTTTTCAACCATCTGGCTTTCATTGCTTACTCCTTTCCCCTCCTCCACGTACGTTTACCAAATCTTTTCAACACACACTGACCCAGCTATCAAATGTTTATAATTAATAACAGCCCTACTCTCCCCAGCCCACCCCGGCCTCTCTGAAGGTAGTGCTTTCTGGCCCGCTGGGTTCTTCATGTCGCAGCTCTTGCAGATCAGGAAGGGGCCGATGGGGCCCCAGGACGGCTGTTATCTTTGAGTTGCATTGTGATTTAGGGGAGAGTTTACAGAGTCAATTAGGTTCCCGTTGAACACTTTTTATAGGAACTGGTAACCTTTCTCCAGAGGGCGCCAACATTCCCATGCTTTCTATTCTGTTTGCGCCACTCTCATCAATCTACCTTTCCTGTCCCTCCCTGCCTTGGGCTTCCCATCTGTGTTTTAGGGCCAATGCTGGTCATTGGGCTTCATCTAGCTGATTATCTGAAGCTTAATGACAGAGTAGAAAACTTCTAGTCTAATTTAAGTCCTGAATTAAAAAAAAAAAGCCCTGTGTTTTTTTTTAAATGAGAATGACTTCTGACCCAAAATGGAAGGGAGAAGAGAGCTGACGTGTCAGAGTGCTGACTACGTTCTATGTGTTAGGTGCTTGATTAGTGTTCTGTGTATCTTATATGTGAACGCTTTCCTGAAATTTTAGGGATTCTTGACCCTAATCGAGGAAGGAAGAAACCGAAGATCCGAAATGGTGCATAACTTCTTGCTGAAATGTGCAAATCAGTCTGCGGGTGCTTGTGTCTGGCGGTCTCAGGATGTGAACAAAGACCTCGCGGCACAGTGGTGAAACAGTAGGCTGCTAACCCAAAGGTCAGAGGTTTGAACCCACCAGCTGTTCTGCGAGTGAAGGCTGTGGCCCTCTGCATCCGCAAAGATTGACAGCCTCGGAAACCCTAAGGGGCAGCAGGTCCACTCTGTCCTGTAGGGTCACTCTGTCAGAATCGACTTGGCTTTGTGTTTTAGGGATGCGAAAAGATCTCTAGTGCACCTTATTCATTGAAAAAGGCCATGGTGTTAAACACTATATACAGTATGATCGCTTTTACAAAAGGAAAATGGTAAGCATTTGGATAGGTCCAGATCTGTCTAGAGGTGAATAGGAAAAGTCTGGAAGGGTATGCACCAAACCATGACATGCGATCATCTAGGGGAGGGGTGGAGCGGCAGAACACTGTGGAATGAAGGGGGTTGCACTTTGTGTGTGTCCGTTGTTCACAGTGAGGCTTGTTCTGCATTCCTTAGATCATTATACTACATAGAAACCTATCTCAGTAGGAACAGGAGGCCGGCTTCTTTCCTAGCTCCTTTTCTGGACCTTTCTTTGTGAGCTGGTCTAACTCACCACCGTGGGTGGCTGCAGGGTATCATTTAGAGACAAAGTGCTCGGAGGTGGGAAGGGTGCTTAGAATGGTTTCTGCACCTTGTGTCAATAACACAGAAAACAATGGTGAGGCTGGCACAGTGTTTCCTTCTGGTTTCCACAGCGTCACTGAGTTGGGACGGACTCGAAGGCACCTAACAACTTCATCACGAATAACGTCTTTGCTATCAACTTCATTGCAGAATTCTCAGCAGCAGCTCACATGCAAAAATGTGATCTGAATTTTTTCAGGGCCCTTGTTTAGCACAAATGCGAAGGGAGGAGCATCTCTCCTAGATAGGCTAGTTCTCGTCTTCATAGATGATACCACTAATTGACTCAACTGTTATCTTTTCTACTCTTCCCTGCCTCCTCCTTTAAAACTTGCCTTTGTAGTCTTACTTTGAGGATACTTTAGCACACACACCACAGAACCTAAAGAGTTATTATCATAGGGCTATTTATGCTTTAAATTAGTATTTAAAGCCTCCAGTTTAAGGCAGGAATTCCAATAACAGCATTGTCAGCATCACCAGGCAGGCAGTTCAAAAGATAAAGATGATGCAGGGAGAGCTGGCACTAGGGCCTTCCTAGCAATCATCAAATAATGCAGGTGTAAACATCACTCCTTGTAGATTTGACCTGGTCCATGATACTTGTGTATGCAGGGAGCACTTACTATGTGTCAAACATTATTGGAGGTTCTAGGGAGATAGAAATGATTAAGACAGGCACAAAAGGTTAAACATTCCACTAGTAAAACAGGTTGGCAGTAATCAGTTTGATGGTAGTTTCTAACACTGTCACCACCTGTTCAGTAGGACATTCAGTAGGATCTGGGAAGGGCTCTGTCTTACTTAGCCCACTTCTGGGAGACACCAGCCTGGTGACCAAGAGTTGGGCTTGTATGTCATACAAATAAAGTGATTTTTTTTGGAAAGAGATTTTGAGCTCAAAGACAGTGTATAGCTACCCCAGGCCCATCAGAGTACACATAGCACTACAGAAAGGAAGTGCCGAAGTATGCAAAATTTCAAAAAGGCAAACCCCACCTGCTGCCATCTAGTGCAATCTGACTGCTACTCTCTCTAACGGACAGGGTGGAACAGCCGCATAGTGCTCCTAAGCGTACAAATCTTTACAGAACACACTGCCGCATCGTTGACCCTCACAACAATTGGTGGGCTCGCAGCGACTCCCTTTAACCACTTTGCTACCAAGGCTCCTCAGGCAGAACAAGAAATACTTAAATTTCTAAATGACCCGCAACTCAACCCAGAGGGCATCTGGGAAAAACAATACACTATCGTGTGGCTATCACATGCAGTTTCTCTTCCATAGACACCTCATGCCAGTCTTGAGAAGGGTTGATCTCCCTTGATGTAGTTCAGACTAGTCCCGCAGGGCTACATCTCCCAGTCACGCTTCCATTAAAAGACGGAAAACGTCTTTGGCTCTTGAACGAGAGTTGAAGCAGGTCAGAAGAGGCCTCCCTTTACTGCTTGAATTAGTGTCATTCTATGATGTGCTGCCGTGGACTGCTGGCCCCTAGATCCCTGGCTGTGCCTGGCTGTGAGAACTCTTTTCCGCCGCACTGACGGCTGGCTGATGAACATCAGGGACCCGAATTTATCCAGAGCAGAAGGACACTGCTAAAACTCAATCATGGTCCTTGTTCATGAGTCAATAGAAAGGTCATAGAGTAGATTAAGATGATGTCATTCCGTCACATTTAGGACTTCGGGGTGGGAAGTAACATCTTGTATCCTACATCTGCTGTGCAAGGAAGAGGTGGGAAGAGGGACTGCAAATCCCAGCTCTTCCACTCAATCCCAGGTCATCCTTAGCATTGGTGCAGCATGGGGATGTCATCACCACACTGGACATGTTACAGAAACCCTTCTGCTTCTTTCTCACGTGATGGTGAGTCAGCAGAACAGAAAGGATTAGCATGGAGTGGCAGGAGCGTGTAACACCTCTGTCTCTAGAGCGAAGAAGAACCACGGGGCATGTGAGCAGGATGTGGTGCCCCCAGCTCATCCAGGACAACCACTTCGTTTTTACAAATGTGGAACCAGAATGGATTTGACCAAGCAAATGATCACACTTTCAAACGATCACATGTTACTGTTCATGCCTAAAAGCTATACATTCATCGCTCCTAATATGGTACATGCACAGAGAAAGCATGCACACATCCATTCATGCAGCAGGGTTGGCCCAGGCCAACTTTGGGTCTTGGATGACCTGATTCAGTAAGACACTTCAGCCCATCCACAGATTGGAAAGTCTGGCCTGGGTTCTTTAAATGCCTCCTTCTCCAAACCAGAATCCTAGGATGAGATGGTTTAGATTCTACCGAGAGTCGTTAAAAATGAGTTCTTGAAAGGCAAGTCTCTCCAGACACCCTAACATTGTGTGGACTGAAGAGGTGATTGGATTGATTAAGACTCAAGGTTGGGCAGTAATGAGATGCAGGCGGGGCTCGGCGGTGAAATGGTCCAATTGATTTTACGCATGTGGAATGGCAGCCTCCCCCTGGGGCATGCCAAAATGCATCTGCATGCTGCGTGCACAGAGATTTCACAGTGGATCAGCTTTACCACCCAGATACTGCAGTCCCTCTGCTCTGCAACCTGCGAGCCATGCCTTACTCGAGGGTTAGGACTTGGGATGCAGGCTGACATGTGGCAGAGATCAGGATGGCTGGGGCAGTTCATGTTCCCTTCCTTCCAGAGAAAGCACATGCGCACGCCAGCCGTGCCACAGGGCTCGCTCCGGTGCAGAGCCTCTGGCCCCTGTGTATGACCACTGGGCTGGAATTCCAGAGCCCTGGTTTCAATTACCTTTAAGTGGATTTGACTAGCAGTTTGAAGTGATGCTAATTGGTTTTCAAAACACTGGGTAACAATGAGCATTCTGGTCTTGCCTGTGGAAAGATGCACCCAGTGGCACACATGCCCCTGGGTCAGAGGGCAGCCAAAGAGGCCCTTACCTCGCCGGGCAGGGCTCCACGTTGCAGGATCTCCGGAGCTGTGGGGGCCGCCGGCTGGTCACGCACAAGCTCTCATCAGCAGGCTCCCGACTCTGTCTGTTCAGGCAGCTCACTACAGCCTCCTGGACACCTGTGTACAAATCACACTGTCAGGCCAGAGTGCAGAGTGGGCGTGTGTGGGGGTGATGACGTGTCGACAAGCCAGACGGTGGGAGGTCTCTGAGATTGGTAGGGCTCTTGCTGCACGCCAAGCACGGCAGCTCACAGACCACGGCTGCCCATCTTGCCCAGGATCGTTCAACCCTTGAGTGTGTCCTCTGAAAGCATAGCCCTGGAGGCAGGCAACTCCTCCTGGAAGGAGAGGCTCCTACCCATCCTGCTGCTAGGCTTAAAACTATGTCACCAAGGTACATGCCACTGGTGCTGAAATATGAAAAAACACAGGAGGAGGGCAGTGTGCCTAAGGAATAAAAACAAGGCCCCAAGGTCTTCACACATTATATTTGCACCAATCACCCACCCAACCAAACCAAATTCACTGCCGCCGAGTCAATTCTGACTCACAGCGATCTGATAGGACATGGTAAAACTGCCGCTGTCGATTTCTGAGGCTATAACTGCTGAGGAGAGTCGGACACCGTCTTTGGAAGGAAGTTCACGACCATGTTTTTATGTCCAACACAGCCTGTGAGCGGCTGTGTTCCTGGGCTGAGCATCTAAGACTATAGCCCTCCCTGTCTTCCTTGTGATGCTGCTTCATTTCTTTTGTGACCCCGAGCAGCTTCAGATTTTGGAACCAAGAAAAGAAAGCAAGATGTACACTGCTTCCACCTGATAGAAACCTTGCCATCCATCGGAAGGCAGAGCTGGGGTCAAAGCTGGCGGCTGGCCCCAGTGGCTGGGCGGGGCTTACAAAGCCGCCTTCAGGATCCCTCGTGCAGACTTTCATGGAGAAGGGGAAGGTTTTAAAGGGAAATAGAAGCACGGAGCCTCTCATGCTGGGGCCCACCGCAAGGTAACCAGATCTAGCACCTGCTGGGGGTACATTCTTATTCAGGTGTCATCTTCTGAGCTTGGGGCACTTCAATCAATCCTCTCAATGGTACCATGAGGCTGCCACTCTTGTTTAGTCCCATTTTACAGAGAAGGACACTGCGGCTTTGAAGAGTTGAAAAGACTCAGTGGAGGTCATCCAGCCGATCCCTGGTGACCTGGCCTGCGCAGCCCGCTGTCAGCAACAGAGCTCGGCTGACCGTCATGCGAACAGTTAAAAAAGACCAAGAGACTGTGGCTCTGGTTGTCCCGGGGGTCTCTGAGAATAGCCTGGATATTTGTGGGGCACCATTTCAGCCGAGTTCAGCTTAAGGACAGAGGCTAGACAAGGCATTCTTGCTAATTTGCTCTCAGCCACACCCAGGCCGCTCTAAAGATAGCGACATCTAAATTTATCTAGCTGCACTTGCATATCTGGGCATCGTCTGGGCCGAGCGTGTGGCTATACATAACATTCATTTTATAGACATGCGTACATTTTCTGCATTGCTTCATTCAGTAGTGCCGAAGATAGTTCAGCTGACCCTTCTGTTTCCCCAGGAGGTCCTCTCCCTAGTCAGCAAGCTCATGCTTCCCAGTTCTTCATTGGTCAGTTAGCAGGAGCAGCATTGTTTTAATTGACCTTTCTTTTTGTAATTTTTATTGTTTTATTGGGGCCTCGTACAGCTCTTATCACCATCCATCCATCCATTGTGCCAAGCACATTTGTACATCTGTTGCCATCATTCTTTTCTTTTTCTCATCATTCTTTTTTGGTTGTTGTTAAATCATTTTATTGGGGGCTCGTACAATTAATTTTTAAAAAAAATATCCTTAACAATTTTTAAATTATTTTTTAAAAAAATCTTTTTATTGGGGCCTCGAACAACTCTTATCACAATCCATCCATCCATCGTGTCAAGCACATTTGTACATTTGTTGCCATCATCATTTTCAAAACATTTTCTTTCTACTTGAGCCCTTGGTATCAGCTTCTCATTTTGCCCCTCCCCCACCCTCCCTCCCTCATGAACCCTTGATAATTTATAAATTATATTTTTCATGTCTTACACTGACTGATGTCTCCCTTCACCCACTTTTCTGTTGTTCGTCCCCCTGGGAGGTGGTTATATGTAGATCATTGTGATCAGTCCCCACCCCCCTTCTCCTCCTGGCATCCCTACTCTCAGTATTGGTCCTGAGCAGTTTATCTGTCCTGGATTCCCTGTGTTTCCAGTTCTTATCTGTACCCCTGTACATGAGGAACAGCATTTCTAAAGTGACAGTTTGAAAGCAGACTTGGAAAGGTAGTCTTTTTTCTGAAATGAGGCACACAGCCCACCTTTGCTTCATCAATGCATCTCAGCCATGTTAAGACCTTAGGCCAAGAGAGCAGCCTTCAGATTTTCCTTGGGTAGGTTTTTGAGGCGCAGCACACTGTAATGTGCATGTCTGGTAGCCAGTACAAGGTGGAACCCTGGGGGGTGACGGGACGGTTAGTGACTCCATTCACTGCTGCCTGCTCTGCAGGAGGTTCTCTGATCTGAAGTTGAGATGCACCATTGGCAATGCATGGTACCCAGATGCAGCAAAATATTCCACAAGAAATCAGCCATCTGATGCTTCCCATGCTTCAAAACTCTGGCATTATTAAAGCAATCACGCCGAGGCAGTAGAAGGCGCTGATTATCCTACACAGACTTTAGATCTGTGGTTAGGTGAAAAACCAGGTTTTCAATTCCTTTGCCTACTTGATGATTGTTTCTTTTTTTTTAATTTAATTTTTTTTTTTTTGATGATTGTTTCTTAAAATGTAAAGTGTCTTTTCATTTTTATGTAGGTAGGGTGGCCACGCTGGGCAGGACATGGACCTCAGGATGCATCATATGCTTCCCTTGATGATGGTGATGATGCCTGATGGGGCCACCCATCATTAGGCCTTTAAGACTGCCAGTGTTCTGCTCCCGTAAAGATTTTACAGCCTTGAGACCCTGAAGGGGCAGTTCTACTGGGTCCTTTAGGGCTGCTAAGAGCCAGACCTGACTCAGTGACAGTGAGTTTGGTTGATTTGAAAGACTGCAAGAAGTAGGTGGCAAACTCAAACTCACTGTCTGCTAGTGCATTCTGACTCATAGTGGCCCTAGAACAGTGGCTCTCAATTCCTACTGCCGTGGCCCTTTCATACAGCTCCTCATGTTGTGGGGACCCCCCAACCATAAAATGATTTTCATTCTACTTCATAAGTATAATTTTGCTACTGTTATCAATCGGGTGACCCCTGTGAAAGGGTTGTTCATTCCCCAAAGGGGTCAAGACTCACAGGTTGAGAACCACTGTCCTAGAAGAAAGGGTACAATGGCCTGAGTGTGCTTTTGAGATGATAAATCTTTTTTTTTTTTTTTTTTCAACTGAACAGTTTCCTTTACATTTTTTTTTCCAAAACATTTTATTAGGGCCTCATACAACTCTTATCACAATCCATACACACATCAATTGTGTAAAGCGCATTTGTACATTCATTGTCCTCATCATTCTCAAAACATTTCCTCTCCACTTAAGCCCCCAGCATTGGGTCTTCATTTTTTCCCTCCCTCCCTGCTCCTCCCTCCCTCATGAGCCCTTGATAGTTTATAAATTATTATTTTGTCGTATCTTGCCTTGTCCAATGTCTCCCTTCACCCACTTTTCTGTTGTCTGTCCCTCAGGTAGGTAGTCACATCTAGTTCCTTGTAATCGGTTCCCTCTTTCCAACCCATTCTCCCTCTATCCTCCCAGTATCACCACTCACACCACTGGTCCTGTAGGGCTCATCCGCCCTGAATTCCCTGTATTTCCAGTTCCTATCTGTACCAGTGTACATCGAGATGATAAATCTTAATGGAAGTAGAAAGCCTCATCTTTCTCCTGTGGAATGGCTGGTGGTTTCAAACTGTTCACCTTGTGATTAGCAGCCAACTCCATAATCCATTATACCACCAGGGCTCCTGAGAAATGGGCGTGGCAAGTACTAACATTTCTTAAATTTTAAATAACCTACTCCTTTAGAGATGTATGTCAGACACACATTTACATTGCTCTAAACCAGCGATCATTACCCAAGTGGGGAAAGAAATCACTTTCAGGAGAGTTACATGCTCAGGCTGTAAGATTACTAACCCACAGGCATTCTAGAATGACTAGCATCATGCAACTGTGTGCATTCGGTGGCCGCTGCCACAGGGGCCCGCGGCCTCAGCATGCTTAGGTGGGGCCTTGGGTGTTGGGGGAAACTAAGGACAGAGTTCTGTCATAATGAAGGAGTATGTAGGACCAGCCCTGTGGTCCACGCACAATAAATATTTGGGGAATGAACAAATGAAATGCCTAAAGGGCAAGGCACTGTAAGCACAGTTTGCAATTTGGGCTGTGGAGAGGTGGAAACAGGCTGCCAGAGGATAGGAATGCTGAGGGAGAATGGGAGGATGGGAGGATGGGAGGGAGGGAAGGAGGGAGGGTTAGTGGTTAGGGAGGGCGAGGGCTTGGGGGAGGGGAGAAATGGGCAATATCACCTGTGAGTTCATTCCCTGTACACGTGACCCAATGGCGTCCTGCGCCGGTTTTAAGAAATTAACTCATCAAGCTTTCTCTTTCCAAACGGGCTAATGTGGACACTTAGGAGGACACATTTCACCAACGCAGCACAGACATCTCAGTGTCGGGACGCTTTGTGATTCTGGAGGCAGCAGCCCTCATGAGGACCAGGGAGAAATAGGAATGCTTTTTGTGGAAGTCAGGTTCAAGTTCTCCCTCAGCTTGATGTTAATGCTGATTTTTCCAAGGAGGGTCCTAATAAAGCCTTTTGGGTTCAAAAGTGCTCACCTGGACCACACCTACCAGGTCACAGATGGGAACTGACACTGTAACAGGGAGGGGGTGGTGGGAGACAGGACACCAATTTGAAGAGATTAGGCTCACTTTCATTCTTCCAGCAAATGGGGTTTTCTGTGTTGCTGTCTCCCAGAATAGCATCCTTGCCCTATGACCTGTGATGACCGCTCAGGGTAAAGATGACACTAACTACAGGCGGAATGACTAATGGCTCCTTCCGGTTGCTACCTCTGTCAGGTGAAAGGCTACATTGACACCTCTCCAGTTTCCTCTCTCAAGATTACAGCCCCAAGAGAGTTGGACTAATCAGCCTTACAACTTCAGGGGGATGTGGGGGGAAAGGAAGTGGTGTTAACAAACCCAGGGACAAGGGAACAACAAGTGATCCAAATTGGTGGTGAGGAGGGTGTGGGAGGCCTGGGAGGGCATGATCAAGGGTAATGTAATAAAGAGGAATTGCTGAAACCCTGGTGGGGACTGAGCATGATAGTGGGACAGGAGGAAAGTCAAGGGAAATAGAAGAAAGAGCTGGGAGGCATTTATAGAGGTCTAGAGAAAGACATGTACATATGCAAATATATTTATATATGAGCATGGGAAAATAGATCTATGTGCCTATATTTATAGGTTTAGTATTAAGGTACCAGAAGGACATTGGGCCTCCACTCAAGTACTCCCTCAATGCAAGAAT